GAGGGGGAGAGAGAGAGAGAGAGAGAGAGAGAGAGAGAGAGAGTGAGTGAGTGAGTGAGTATGGGGGAGAGAATGGATTGTTGATCAGAGCTCTAAGGAAGCTTAGAAACCATCTAGTCTAATCCCATCATTTGAGAGGAAACCAAAGTATGTCATAGTGGGGATTTCTCTTTGGGTATTGTTTATACTAGATAGCTGCTGAAGTCCCATCTAATCTTGTGGTTTCATGAGTTTGTCGTTCTATAAAAGATGAATAAATCATTCCTGTGTTGAGGTAGTTTACAATCTAGTAACTAACATAACACATGTACAGATATCTTCTCCCCCTCCCCCCAAAAACTATATGGCAAGGGAAAATGTGGTAAGAGAGGTATATGACTTTGATTATTATAACAGAGACAAATTTATCTTCCCTTATCAACTCACAGATAATGTAACTGAAGCTAATGAAGTATCCATAAAGCTAAATTTTCATTTTAGTTTGAATGAATCATCTTTCTTTGCACCTATAATAATTGAATCTTTAAGACCTAGCTCATCTCCTATTTTAGCAGTGAAACCTTCCTTCAACAAAATGGTCTATAGTGATTTCTCCTTCTGAGTATTTGCAGTACCACTCATTTGGGCAGTGGATATATAATGCTTTTCATTGTTAAATTGTTTTACTATGTCTGTATTTTATCTCCCAGGTAGGTTACAAAGTCCAAGAGGACAGGGGCTATGTCTGTCTTGATGTTACTCACAACTGTTATTTCATATCCATGAGCTCCAAAATTCCTTTATCTTTTGTATTTGTTTTATTTCATTCCACCTTTCTCCATTCCTTATAACCTCTGACCATGGTTGTGCTAAATATTTAGCAACTAGCTCTCCAAAAAGCACAAACACTTTTAAATTTAATCTTCATTATTAACATATTCTCAATCCCTTTCTTAAGTCTAGACAATCAACAAAACAATAAATCAAGCCCTGATTTGTAGTGTTTGCTGATTTCCAAGGTGTAAATACCTAAAATTTAAACTAAAAATTTAACATTTGGCTTTCCCAAGCCAGTAAGAGCTGGCTCGACCACATCTTTACCCCTAACCCTATTATTTGACCCCCTTTGACCCACCTATTCCTCTACCCCTACTTTCTTTCTTTGGCCCTCATGACTGGACTTGCAATCAGTTCAATTCTAGGCTATTTACTTTTGTCAGATCCCTTGCTCCTTGTCCTACTGACAGTCATGTATTGTCAAACTCCAGTTTTATATTACTCCCATGATCAACTTACTTTGCTCCTGTCCACAAAATTTTCAATGAAGCTAGAGAAAATCATGAATTGTACTGATTAAGTCCTCTACAAGTGTATTCAGGTGGGTCCTTGTAAAGCAACTTAATTGACTTGTTACCTCACTCACCAAAGCAGACATTTCAAACCTTTTTATCCCTCTTCAAAACTCCGGTGGTGCCCTATCACCTGACTTTTTTAGCTGAGGACGTAAGCTTCATATTTCACCAAAACAATTAAGGCTGTTTTCTAAGTGCTCCCTCTTCTCTCCTCTTCCTCCTCATCTCACACCACTCAGAAGTCTTCCTCCATTGTCTTTTCCTTTACACTCCTCTTTCATGAAGAGGTAGCCCTTCTCCTTGTAGAGGCAAACCACTCTATCTACACCATTGATCTCATCCCCTCCTATCTCCAGCATATTCTCCCACTGTTATTCCTATTTGTTCCCATTAATCTCTCCCTAGCTGTTGGCTCCTTCCCTGCTGCCTATAATTATATTGTTCTCCCCAATCTTTTTTTTTAAATCAAGAACAAAACCCCAACTTGATCCAACCAAACACACTAGTTATTGTTCAATATCAAACTTCTCCTTGGCTAAACTTCATGAGGAGATTATCTACACTGGTTGCTTCCAATTCCTTTCCTCTCACTCACTTCTAAATTACTTGCAGTCTGTTTTTTTATCACATCATTTAACTGAAGCTTCTTTCTCTGAAGTTATAAATGATCTCTTAATTGTTAAAAACAGTGACCTTTTCTCAATCCTGTTCCCTCCTGTGAAGCCTTTGACATTGTCGATTACCCTCTCCTTCTGGGCACTCTCTTCTTTAGGTTTTCTTTCCACTCTCTTTTCTGCTTCTCCTCCTCCCTGTCTGACTCCTCCTCATTCTCTTTTGCTAAATCTTCATCCAGATCATGGTCACTAAACATGTGTGTCCAATAAAATTCTGTCTTGGGTCATCTTTTCTTTCCCTTCTATCTTCTCCTTCTATACTTTTCCTTTATACTTGCTTGGTGATCTCATCAATTAGCATGGTTCAGATGTAATCTCTATGAAATCATTTGTGGGAATACACATATACATACACACATACCATATACATATATATATATAAAAACATACATATACATATATACATATATATTCACAAATTTTCGTACACACATATTGCTTGGTGATCTCATCAATTAGAATGGTTCAGTTGTAATCTCTATGAAAATGATTTGGGGAGATATGCATCTATCTCCACAAATCATTTTTATAGAGATTATATATATATATATATATATATATAACATATATATGTGGGTATGTATATATTTGTGTATGTCTGCATGTATGTATTTGCATGTGTCTATATGTGTGTGTGTATGTCTCTAGGTGGCACGGTGGATAGAGCACTGGGCTTGGAATCAGGAAGACTCATCTTCCTGTGCTCAAATCTGGCCACAGACACTTACTAAACTGTGTGACCCTGGGTAATTCACTTAACCCTGTTTGCCTCAGTTTCCTCATCTGTAAAACGAGCTGGAGAAGGAAATGGCAAACCACTTCAGTATCTTTGCAAGAAAACCCCAAAATCTTCTGGGAGCCAAGATTGCAGTAAACCGCCATAACTCTCCCATATTCACCTCCAGACAACCATAAAAACAAATCCTGGAATGGCAGAACTAACAAAAAGATGAGGTGAAACAATCTTTTAGCCCAAGAAACTTGGAAGATCATCAGGAAAGGTCTGTCTCACTCAGGTAAAATGGAAGTACAGTCCAGGACAGGAATCATCCCAGCAAGCCAACAGCAAGCTCTGCCTCAGCAAACCAGTGGGAGATCTTGAGCCCTAGTGTGGTGGAGCACGCAAACACTAACACCAAGACCCTTCATGTTTCTTAGCATAGCCAGAGGAACAGGTTGTGAACTGATCCAAACATTCTGGAGAGGAATTTGGAACTATGCCCAAAGGGCAACCAAACTGTTCATACCCTTTGATCCAGCAATACATCTACTAGGTCTGTATCCCAAAGAGATCATTAAAAAGGGAAAAGGACTTACATGTACAAAAATATTTATAGCAACCCTTTTTGTGATGGCGAAATATTGGAAACTGAAGTGTTGTCCATCAATTGAGGAATGGCTGAATAAGCTGTAGTATGTGAATGTAATGGAATACTATTGTGCAATAAGAAATGATGAGCAGGCAGATTTCAGAAAATCTGGAAAGATATGTATGAACTGATGCAATATGAGCAGAACCAGGAAAACACTGTATACTGTATTAGCAACATTCTGTGATGCTCAACTATGAATGACTCAGCTCTTCTCAGCAACACAAGGATCCAACACAAGTACAAAGGACTCACAAAGGAAAATGCTATCCACATCCAGATAAAGAACTGATGGGCTCTGAATACAGATTGCACCATACCTTTTTCACTCACTTTATTAATTTTCTTGCTTTTTTTTCCTTTTGATCTGTTTCTTCTTTCATAACTGTGACTAATGTGGAAATATGTTTTATGTGATAGTACACGTATAACCTGTATCATATTGTCTACCATTTTAGGAAGAGGGAAGGGGAGGGGAGAGAGGGAGGGAAAAAAATTTGGAACTCAAAATCATGTAAAAGTGAATGCTAAAAATTGTTTTGGCATCTGATTGGGGGAAAAAATAAAATACTATTTCAAAAAAAGTAAAAAAAAAAAGAAATAAAAGAAAGGAAAACCCTAAAATGGGGTCATGAAGGGTCAGACATGACTGAAAAATGACTAAACAGCAACAAATATATATATACATATACATGTATGTATGCATATGTATACGTATGTACACACATATACATCCAGCCCTAATCTCTTTCCTGAACTTCAATGCAGTAGCATTAATTGCTTCTTGGACATCTCAAATTAGATATCTGGTAGGCATCTCAGATTCAATACACCAAAACAGAATCTATTATTTTTCTCTCCAAACTTTCCCCTTTCCCCATTTTCCTATTACAGTCGAGGACCCTCTTCAGCCACTTAAGTTCACAGCTTTGTTATCATCCTTGTCTCCTCACTCTCACTCCACTTACACAATCCATTGACAAATCTTTTGTTTCTACCTTCCCAATACCTCTTGTATATATGCACTTCTGTCCACTCACACATCCACAAGCACAGTACAATCCCTTGTCACTTCTCACCGGTATTGCAATCGTCTTCTAATTGGTCTCCCCTGCCTCAATTCTCTCTTTATTCCAGTCCGTCCTTCATTCAGATGCCAAACTGACTTTCCTAAAGTACAGGTCTTTATTACCTGTACTTTACTGTGTATTACCCCTTTTACTCAGTAATGCCAGGGGCTACAGATTATTTACAGGATCAAATATATAAAATCCCGTTTGGCATTTAAAGCCCTTTACAATTTGTGTGTTTCCTGTATTTTCAGTCTTCTGATTATAGCTTATGTTCTTCTATAAACATGATCCAGCTCCATTGATTTGCTTGCTGTTTCTCATGTACTGGCTGTCCCCCATACTTGGAATGCTTACCCTCCTCACCCCCAATTTCCAGCTTCTCTAGACTCCTTCAAAACTCACCTCAAGCTTCATTTTCTGAAGGAGGCCTTTCCATACCCACTCTAGTATCTTCCCTTGAAGACTACTTTCCATTTATACTGCATATAGCTTGTGTGTACATACTTATTTGTATGTTGTCTTTCCCATGGTAATGTGAGTTCTTTGAGAGTAGGGGCCATGTTTTTGCTTTTCTTTATATCTCCAGCACTTAGAACAATGCCCAGCACATAGTAAGCACTTAATAAATACTAGTCACAGATTTTGTATTCCCCTCAATGCCTTCCACAATCCCTTGCACACAGTGAGTACTCAGTGTCTGCAGTTGAGGATGAGACTGTTTTTCTCAACACCTTTTTCTATGATGAATGTTGTCCTGAGTTCAGGGGAAATTGAAAATCTTTTGTGTGAACACAAATGAGTTAAACTAGCATTTTGTACTTTTCCAGCTTTAATCAAGTTAAAGCTGATACCTTAGTGATTTAAGATGCTATCCAGCTCTTATTTCTTTAAAAAAAACCCACAACTTTTTTTGATTATTTAGGATATTTTTGGAGTTATGGAAAGTAGGAGTATGAAGGAAGATTGGAGTGGGATAGTTATGAAAACTTCATTTAAAGGCTGAGCACTGTTTGAAAGCCTTATCTTCTTATCTGGAAAACGAGGGCATTGGACTGGATTCTTCCTATGGTTCATTCCCCTCTAACATTCTAAGATTCTTCTTTGAAAAGTAAATGGAATATATTTAGAGTGTAAGAGGACACTGGAGACAATGTCTACTGGCAGGCAAAAGCTTCTGCTGTTCCCCTCAGGTAAACTAATTGTCATTCGGGAATATGTTATAATGTCAGAATCCTGACCCAGATTCTTAAACTACAGAATTTCCACAGAAAGAAACAATACCTTGGCATGTTTTCATGAAGTCCCACAGATGAGCATTAAGTTGTTGTCCTAATATTAACTAAGTATTCATCCTGTTGAAATTACCACTGGGTAAATTATGGTTCAGTCATTGGCAGTGGTTCTTAATGGTTTCTTGTGTCGTGGACCCCTTTGGCAGTCTGGTCAAACCCATTGAACCCTTTCAGAATAATATTTATTGCCTATATTCATGACAGAAGGAAATACTAAATATACATTAGAGGATAGTTAATTTTTTTCCTGTACTAGTTCATAGACTCCCTGAAATCTATTCACACACCCCCTTAAGGATCTATGTACCCCAGATTAAGATTCCCTGGTGTAATGAAATAATAATATAGCTGTGACTTGGAACACAAATCCCTCCCCTGTCCTCTTGTTATTCAAAGTCTGATATAATAGAACATCAGAAAGAGGTTGCAGGCATCCTGAACCTGGAATCACAAAACCTGAGTTTGACTTTCAGCTTTATTCCTTATGACTTATTTAATTTCAGCTGTTTCCTTATTTAGGCAGTGGAGCAGATAGAGCACTGGACTTGGAATCTGGAAGACTCTTCTTCCTGAGTTCAAATCTGGTCTCAGACACTTACTAGCTGTGGGCCCCTCAGTTTTCTCATCTGTAAAATGAACTGGAGGAAGAAATGGCATTACGCTCCAGTATCTTTGCCAAGAAAACTCCACAATGGCATCACAAAGAGTTGGACACAACTGAAGCTGCTGAACAACATCTTTACTTTAAAATGAGGTGGCCTTTAGCTCTATTAACCTATAGTCCTTGCAAGTTTCAGTAGAATGTAAGGTCCTTGGAGGCAGGGATAGTTTTGTTTGTTCATTTGTTTGTTTGGTGTATAGCTATTGCTAGGACAGGACCTTGTATATATTAAGCCCTTAGCAAATACTTTTTGGTTGAGGAAAATTTGAATTTATTTTTAACCTGAAAAAAGGAGGAGGTTGGTATTGATTGAGAGGTAAGAACTAATACTTCAAGTAAACTGTTTCTCTTACACATTGTTGTCTTTTCAGTGTGAACAAAACATGTTGCTCAATTCAACATCCAATGGTACCTGCAATGGTAAGTTAACCATTGATACAGTGAATTTAAAACAATATAACCTGAATAAAGGTGGAGTCAAGGTAGGGGTGTATGTCACTTTTTACTCTGTTTTCATTTTCTGACTATTTTGTCCATGAAATGTACCTAATTATTTTCCCATCAAATGTAACAATACAAATGTGAATTTCTATACAGTATCAAAATAAGACATTTTCATGTCCTGAAATATATTTTTTAATCTGGAATAAAACAAGTATTTACATAGCATAGTACAATAGAAAGACGATTGCACATGAAACTGTAGAGCTTCTATGCACAACTTGCTATTCCTTTCAAATATGCCACAAAATCATCATGTAAATTTATTTTTTCCTTTTTCTCTCCCCCAAGATGGCTACCATTAGACACAAATAGGTATATATATGTAAAATTGTTCCATACATAATACTGTTTATCAGTTTTTTCTCTGGATACAGATGGCATCTTTCTTCATATGTCCTTTATAGTTAATTTGGGTATTTATAGTAGTCAAAGTAACTTATTCCTTCAAAATTCTTCTTAATATTGCTGTTACTGTATACAAGGTTCTCTTGGTTTTGCTCATTTTGCTTTTCATTATTTAGTTCAAGTCTTTCCATGTTTTTTCTAAAATCACTGAGCTTATCACTTATAGCACAATAGTATTCCATCACAATCATATACCACAACTTGTTCAGCCATTCCCCAATTGATGAACATCCCTGCAATTTCTAGTTCTTTGCCACCACAAAGGGAGTTGCTATAAACATTTTAGGGCACATAAGTTCTTTTCCTTTTTCCATAATCAATTTTTGGAAATAGACAAGTAGTGATATTACTGGGTCAAAGGGTACGGATAGCTTTAACTCTTTGGGCATAATTCCAGATTGCTCTCCAAAATGAGTGGATCAGTTCACAATTCTATCAACAATGCCACAATTTTTCCATATCTGCTCCAACATTTGTCACTTTCCCTTAATATCATTTTAGCTACTCTGGTAGGTGTAAAATGATATCTCAAGATTGTTTTAATTTGCTTTTCTCTAATCAATAATAATTTAGAGCATTTTTTCATATGACTGTAATTGTTTTGATTTCTTTATTGGAAAACTGCCTGTTCATATCCTTTGGCCATTTATCAATTGGGGAATGACTGGTATTTGACAAATAAGTTTGACAAAGATCTTTACATATTTTAGATAAGACCTTTATCTGATAAACTATAACATTTCCCCCCCAATTTTCTCCTTTCCTTCTGATCTTGGCTAAATTTATTTTGTTTGTACAAAACCTTTTTAATTTAATATAATAAAAATTATCCATTTTACACCTAACTTCACTCTCTATCTTTTGTTTATTCATAAATTGTTCATCTACCCATAAGTCTGATGTGTATGTTCCACAGTCTTCTAATTTTCTTGTAAAATCTCTCTTTATATTTAGGTCATGTGTCTATTTTGACCTTATCTTGGTAAATGGTATAATATCTTTAATACAGTCAGATGCTATAGTTACACTAAAAAATTCAGTGGCAAATCAAAGCATTTATAAGTATAATTAAGTCTAACATGTCATATTCATAATTAATGACCAGATAGTCAAGGCTTTAAAAATTTTTTTGGACAATTTTCTCAGGCCAGCAAGGTAGTGGCTAGAGCTTTGGACTTAGAATCAGGGAAGGCCCTGATTTTGAATCTTGCCTCAGAAACTTAGTTAGTCCTGTGACCTTGAACAAATCTATTAGCCTCAGTCAGTCTGTTTCTTCATTTGTAAAATAGGTTTAATAATAGCACCTATCTCACAGCATTGTTGTGAAGATCAGACTTGGTATCATTTGTAAAGTGCTTTGCAAACCTTAAAACACTATGCAAATACTAGTTATTATTATTACTATTTGGGTAGCTAGGTGGTGCAGTGGATAGAAGGACTGAGCTTGGAACCAGGAAGACTCATCTTCATGAGTTCAAATCTGACCTGGGACACTTACTAGCATGAGAGTTGGAACAGGCCCTGTTTGCCTCAGTTCCTTATCTGTAAAATGACCTGGAAAAGGAAATAGTAAACCACTCTAGCATCTTTGCCAAGAAAACCCCAAATGTGGTCATGTAGAGTCAGACACAACTGAACAACAACAATTATTTATTATTACTGTCAGTAAGCATTTATTAAGTACCTGCTATATGCCAGGCACCATGCTAAGTAATAGGGATACAAAGAGGCAAAAAACAAATAAAAAGTAACAGTCCTTGCTCTCAGTGAGGTCACAGTCTAATGGGAAAGTTAACATGCAAACAACTATTGTAGCGATTAAAAAAGTCCGAGAGACAGTTTCTGGATAATTTAATCAATATCTTAATACAGCCAGCATGATTTTAATAAAAGGATGGTTATTTGGCCATCTCTCTTAGAGATTAGACCAAAGAGCATCATGATGGCGGGCGCAGGGTTATATGTGTTTTTGGAAGACTAGTGGCAGTCAACTCTGATTAACACAGTGTGGGCTATATTAAAATGAGGGACCGAGAATGGAGTGATATCATGTCACTTTTGGACAGAGAATCTTATATCTATACCCAAATGACCCCCAGCTTTGGGCAATCTAATCAAATGATTTATCCCCACCCAAACCTGAATAGAACATAATGGGCTTCCCCAACTTTGATTAAATTCCTGGTAAAATTGAGTGGGGTCTGACCAAGATTGAGGAGAGTTAATTCAATCTCATTATCAGTAATGTCCTTCAAAAGACTGAACTTTTTACTTTTTAAAGTTAGGGTTGTAGAAGAAGAGGAGAACTCTAGACCTCCCCAAATTATTGGTTATTAATGACCATTTCTTTCACTATATACAAACAAGCTGTATACAGTTGTCCCTTCCACATTACAGTTTTCTCCATTGCAGTCTTGATATATTGTTGGTCCTCATAAGAAATCAAATTGTGATGCCAAAACTTTCATTGTTGAGATAGATAAAGTAAGGATTGATAAATTTTTGTCCTTACCTGTGATTTCACAGGTGTAGGTGAGGAAACTCTCCCTCTTTTCTATGCATATCACAGCTACTCTGTAATACAGAATCTTAGAGAGCCACCTGAGTCACTGAGAGTGTAGCATCACACAGCTGGTAGGTATTAGAGGTATTACTTTAAGCTGGATTGAGAAAAATGCTCATGAGAATGGTATGTGAGCAAATAGAGACAAGTTTTCTTTTGTGGGGAGACTCAATAATGATCTTTTATTTTGACCTTCATTGAAATGGCTGTTAGAAACAATGAGTCCTTATATGTTTATGGCTTTTATCTAAATTGCACTTAAGGGTTTATTTGGCCCCAAATGTTTTTTTCCCAGCTCCTAAATGGTTTTTTACATAAAGTTGATAAGGAGTGGTCTATTGACAACCACTGGGGAAGTTTTTGTCTATATTATTTTGGTCCAAAATAACTTATTGTCAGACCCATTGATGGACCATGTGAAGGCTTTTTTTTTTTTTTCCTGGCTAGGCAGTGGGGTTAAGTGACTTGCCAAGGGTCACACAGCTAGTAAGTGTCAGGTGTTTGGTTGGAGGTCGGATTTGAACTCAGGTCCTCTTGACTTCAGGGCCGGTGCTCTATTCACTGCACTACCTAGCTGCCCAATATGAAGGCTTTTAATAGACATTTGTGGAAAATATTCTGAATGAAAGGCTTTAATGAACCACTTTGTAGGGCAGGAGATGGTTTTCTCATCATGAAATTAATGTCTCTAGTCATAGATGCTGGTTAATTCTTGGTCAAAATTTAGGTTTGTTGGTGTGTAGTCTGGAATTAGCAGCATTTATCCTGCACTGAGAGATGCTGCGGTGATCAGGTTTATATGGTCCAACCTTGCTGTCATCCTGTTAGAGAAGATCTGTATTATCATCTCAATATTTATCTTACTTTTATCCTGGATTATATGACTATAATTGCTTTGGTTACTTTACTTAGAAGTTTAGAGTAAAAATATAGCCATGAAGATAGACAAATGCAATAAGAGAATTGAGAAGAAAGGGGTACAAAATGGGACCTTTCCCTTTTTAGGAAAACTTTCCCCATTCAGGAAAACTCATTAAATGCTTCATTTGGATGACTTTGTTGTTTAAGGATACAGCAATAGTATTGATTCCCTTTGAATGTCTCCCCTCACTCCAATACCACCCTGTGCCATGAACATCCATCATCTTTGTGTGTGCCTCTTCCCCTACCAAAAAGAAAAGAAAAAGAATGCCTTTATCTTTATCTCCAGGAATGAAATGCTGAGTCTTGCTCATTCCTGTTCTTGGCCATTAAGTCAGCTTGACACTCAAACTGGGCAGTAAAAGACGTTTTAGTGACTTGCTCATAACATGAACAATAAAGGCCCTGATCTCATTTTCTGGGACTTTTTTCCCACTGGACCAGTAAGTTGTCATGATTCTGAAGCTGCCAATTTCCAGCCCAGAAGACAAAAAATCTTAAAGGGCTGCCTTTGGCTCCATGGCCACTTTTCTTTCTCTTCCCTTTTACTTTCAGTTGTGCCCACTGAGCTCTTCTAAAATGTTTCATCTCAAATGCTAGTATGTCATGCGACATCCTGGGTGTTGAACATTTGTACAAAGTTATTGAAAGGATTGTAGTACCAAAAATGGCATGATGTTAATTTCCACATAGGTTACCTGCCTCTTACAAAAATAAAATTTGTAGGTTATAATAGTTATGGGGAGAAAAAATAGGAAAAAAATCTGTTTCTTGAAGGATTTGACTCTTTCTTGATTTCATTGTTGTCTAATAAGATTTTGAGGTCAGCATTGAATCTAGGATGCTCGTCATTGTAATGATAATAATAACTACCATTTATATATAATTTTAAGGTTTGCAAAGAACTTTGCATGCATGATCTCCTTTGATGCTTGTAGTAATTCTGTGAAGTTGATAACTTTTTTTAATCACTATTTTACAGAAGAGGAAACTGAGGCTGAGAGAGGGTTAAATGATTTGCCTTCGG